TGACAAGGATTATCGACGGAAGCCGTAAAGTGTAACAGCGTTGTATGCAAGCGCAGAAGCTGTCTCGTGATGCATCCCCCCGCGATACGAATACACGCACAACTTATTTTGCGATTTAATTTACTCGGGTTGTTCCAATGTTCCGTTGTAATTGAAGGTTTCGCGATACGAATACATCTCTCGGCGTAAGGACGACTTAATCGATTTGTCGCTTTGTGAATAAAACGTTTATCAATCTTTGCGAAAAATATCATCTCGTAGCGTCGATGTTATAAGCGGGAGAGATGCGCTTGCCATTGATTTTTGCGATGAACTATTAATGCGGACGGTGAATGAGCCGTTCACTAATTTAATTTCGCTCGCATTCGAGGCTGATATAATCGTAGCCACGTCTGACCGATTAATTAATCAGCGTAATCGATAAGATATCCAGGGCGGCAAATCCAATGCAAGAGTGAAATTGGTTTCAAGTGGTTTCGTAACATCGCCGTATATCGCGTCGTTTTATATTCCCAATTTCTCAATCGACGCTACGATATTATTAAACGATAGTTTTTACGCTTCTTTGGGAGCGGGTGATAATACCCTTATCGACGAGCAACGCGTTACTGATAATGTTGTAGAATATATTCTTATTGCATTATCGAGATTTCCGCTTTGGAACAGATTTGTGGTATCGAAATTGCCGAAAGAAAATAGAATTGCCGTCATTCCCACAAACTGATTAAATTAATTGAAACTCAAGCGACCGTTTTCTTTTTAATTTTATACTTGAGGCAGGTTCCACTTAATGCTCGCAATGATCACGAGCATCGTTCCATCTTTGTTTATCCAAGAGAGAATAGTTTTTTTAAACACTGTATAAAAAAATTATTTAAAAGAGTCGATTTTGATGTTTTTGCGTAAAGAGCTCGCAAAAGAAAAAAAAAGGAAACATCCGGAATAGAACGAAATAAGGTCTGGACACTCAACTGTCGGATCAGGCTGTCGATAATTTACGTGGTCGCGCAATAAAGCGTAAATTACGACGCTAATTATCAGATCTCGTGTATAGCATCATCGTTATTAATGACTTTATTGATTGCACGTGTGACGGTGCACAAGCGATTGATCGAAGGATTTGCCATCTGAGCGTGCGCCGTCGTCCGTTTCCTCGAGCGCATCACGCGCGCCATACCGATAAAAGCTGCAATTTATTTTTACATGGGCCGAAATAATAAAAACATCAATATCGCGCGAAATTCGATATCGACGGCTTTCTCTCTCTCTCTCTCTCTCTCTCTCTCTCTCTCTTTCTCTCTCTTTCTTTCTTTCTCTGAAAATTTTGAATTTTTGTTCTTTCTTATATATAATTATCTGCATGCGTATTCTGAACTATACTCTGCTCATTTTAATTCTTTTTCTCTACTTACCTAGCGCTTGTCTTTGGCGGCATATATGGCGTAAAATAAAATTGTTAATTTTTCCTTGCCTCTTAAAAAAAATCTCGAAAAGCGTCATCTGGTTTAGAATTTTTCTAGTTAAAATTCTCGTCATGAAGAAGGGAATTTCTTAGGCTTAATCGTCCAATTTGCCCTGAAATATGATACTTGCGATATAGCGATATAGTATTTAGGTTTGCATTTCTCCCTGTAAAAAGTCGTAATTATGTCTTCGACTTAATAATTTTCCTTTTTATTACATACTATCTGCCAATCTTGTATTGATCGCTTTAAGCTCAAGGGGTTTTACCCCAGAGTCATGATAAACTCTGCTCTCTCTCTCTCTTTTGTTTCTCTCTTCACTTTTCTTCTGTCAGAGAGTTATCCGATTGGTTATCATTTTGCATGCTCTCTGACTCACTCCGGTCGCATTCTCGACATTGCGCGCGGATTTAATTTCCGCACGGTCCTTCGCGAATCAACCAGCACCATCTCGTGTATACACGGTGTTCATTGACGAACGACAACGGCGAAGTTCATCGGAGCTTTGTTATAATTATTTATCGGTTCAGATCACGGTCGAAGATAAAACGTCGCGTGAGCCTGCTGCTGCATTGTCGCCGTTTTGCAAACATTACGTAACGAGCGAGTTTATGAGACATATTAAGGCACCGAAGCGCGTGCTATTAGATGAACGCACACGTGACGTGTATATAACGTAGATCTTTGTAAATCGCGTGTGAAAAGTGACTCAATGGGCAAATAGATAAATCGCTTCGATATTGATAAATGTGCACCTGACCTCATTAATTCAGATTTACTCGCGTTTGCTCAATAAATCACTCCCCGGATAATTTAATCAGCGAACCATCGNTTTTTTTTTTTTTTTTTTTTTTTTTTTTCTTAAATGTACGTGCACAAGTTTTCCAGTCGTGATATCGAATCGGGTGATTAGACTCGCAATTCGTTTGTTTGCACAGCGGTTTTGCGATTATCTTCCCGTTTCAATAAAATATATATCTCGCCGCGAGGTGCATTATATTAAGGAAAAACCTAAGTAACTGCAAGTGTCCGTATCACTTCGAGTCCATTGACTTCGCGCTCTCTCTTCTTTTTTCCCTTCCATCGGGCATCTTGCTAAAAGCGAGGTGGGCGACAGGCCGCACGTATGATACTTAACGTCTGATGTCGGCGTAAAATTTATCTTATCGCTCGATGTGACTCGTATGGATCGCGCGTTCACAATCGAATGGATGACTTTCGAGCGCTAAGATGATGACGATTCTCAATATCATATTCGATAGAACTGACCGTTAAAATATTACTACACATGATCTCCTTAATTGGAACATTGCTGAGAAAAACATGTCGCCGTATGGAACGAAAACGTTTATGAAAGAAATGTTTGTGGAACGTACGTAAATACGATAATTCCTCGTTTATGCGCGTGTGATTAAAGGCTTTAACGGTTTGTAGCTTTACCTTTAAAAGAAAGAAAATATTGAATATTTCGCCATTTCGTCTAAACAAAAATTCTCTTTTTAGAACGAATTTGAAATTTGTTTTACGCTCATGCAAATGCATGGGCTTATGTTTTATCAGTCCTTTCAATTATTGCTTTTTGTAGAATTTTTCACTACGGAAACAAGCGACTATAGTCACTGAATCCTGTGAATTGTTCTTGAATAGGACATAATATTTTTAAACGACATAACATATCGAGAATAAACGTTGAGAAAAAAAAGCGGTTATCCGAAATATCGGCAGTTAACCTCGCTCAAAGAAATATTATGTCCAAATTACACGTTGGCGCAACAATATGTTGCATTGCTGACTACTGCTATAGTTGCTGACCAAATCGCAATCGTTGAATTAACTGATAACTCATTACAGAAATTATATAATATATATAATTTGTTCAATGGACTAAACGTTGCACTTGATGAAAATTGTATTCATTTAAGCAAAATTTCGTTGACTTAATTACATTTTTTCTCGGTACATCTTCGTGTTTCGAAAGTTAACGAAAAAATGTATACAGATTCTCGTGAATAATATTTTCGACGCTTTGTCTCACTCGTCGATCCTAGCTCGATCCCAATCGTCGATTTGATCTTCTGTTCGTTTCGTCATGCGTAATGAATCCGCGAGCAGAATATATAAATTAGTTCACGGCTTATCGCGTTTCGTGCCGTCGCGCGGAAAATATAATCTGCGGTTTACATGTTACAATGTTCGATACGAGTGAGAGACAATCTAAAATCTTCCGCACAGGACGGTTATGCAAAGCTACGCGTTTGTTCGCGCGCCTCAAAGAAAAAGGTGGTGGCAAATTGATAAAGCTATTCCTGAATGAATCCGATTTTTCGCGCTCGCACACCACGAGTGAGTAACTCGCGGTATTCTCGGAGCGGCGCCGCGCTCGCTGATTTGTTCTTCCTTCTCTCGCAACGATTGCTGCGTGGCCCGAATAGATTTACATGTCTGAAAGGACTATTACCAGGAACGCGCTTGAAAAATCCCTGTTGTTGGCGACGTGAAAAACAATGGCGCGTGTCGTTCTTGAAATTACGCGATAAACTGACACATCTTTTCGCCTAATGTCGATCGATTCTCGCTGTCCATATATCTCGTCGTGTAATAGTAAACGCGCCGCGCAATTTTCTCAATGAAGGTGTGAAGGGTGCATTAACCTTTTCTGTTCGTGAAAAGAGAAAATTGCCCTTTCAAATCGACACACTTATCGACATATACATTCTGGACGGATCTTGTGGATTTCGTATTTGTTATTTCATTGTCTGAATCGGGAATAATCTTAACACTGCGTCTTTTAAATTGTTATCACACGCGATGTTGACACATGTAGAGAATCTTCTTGGTGAAGAAAACCAATATCCGGAACGGAGATAGAAACATTTTCATTCACAATACTGGAAATAGATCAGGATTATGAAATACCTACGTGTCGCTTCTGGAAATATTCGATTTCCAGTGAAAATTTTCGAAGGCGGGAGAGGGGCGGTGATGATTTGAATCTGCAAGTACGTAAACATCTCGAACGATAATACATAAACAACGTATTTTTCGAAACTTACAGCGAATCGAAGATTTATCCTCGATATCGGGCGCACTCTCGAGCTTATTTACGACGCACATTCAGAGAAATTTTTACTCGCAATTACCAATGCTGTTGCTTCTTGAAGGATTGATCTTATTTTCCCGTTGATACTCCGCGGAAAAATCACGGGGAAGGTCGCGGTCAATGTTGACGAGCAAATATAAGCGTATAAGTTGTCATGAACTGCACACATCAGCATTCTGCCATCTTATTGTAGATAACCGTTTCAAACTATTCCATTGCGCTTGAGAGACATCGTCTCCCGCCGTCGTGCGAGACGACGAATGTCGTCTCGGTCACGTATGGTATGGCCCGCGATGAATGGATAGCTCTTCGTTCAACGACGAATACCGATGACGAAAGAGGAAGAGATAAGCAAATAAATAGACGAACATAGAGGAGGAGAGAGAGAGAGAGAGAGAGAGAGAGTCGCAAGGAGAAGGCGGTGGACTATACGGGGAGAGACGGCGAGTAGAACGTGACGAGACTCCGGAATGTCTAACATTTTCGATTTATCAGCGTACATATGTTTCTGCACTCGTATAACTGATAGATCGGCTAATAATTATCGTACAGTACAGAGGAATCGTTGTACAAGCTCGGATTTAGTCGTCCACCATTAACTTACGATCGTTCTCTTCCTGCCAGTCGGTACTAAGTCAGTCATCTAGATTAATATGGTGTGAAATGAAGTAAAGAATTAGTTAAAGAAATATGTAAACGATGTTAATCAATGTTTCGATATCGTTCGACTCGCTATCTACTTCCATATTCGTAAATAAGAAAATTGTGATAAAAGTTACAGTGATTCTTGTGTTTCTCTCGTGATATCTTCCTCAAATATTATTTGATTATAGCTAGAATATTAAAATATTTCCGTAAATCAGACAAAGCGAATTCGTTAATTGATAAAACAGAAAAATCGGCAAGCTCTCAGGTTATGTTTGTACACTTATTTCCAAGCTTTTTTCCTCGTCAGATCGGCTGAAAAACATTAACGTTCGTTGACAATCTATCACATTGACATTTCACCCGTCACGAGTTACGTCTATTGATTCTACGTAGTATTAGATCACGACATACGCGTTGTACGCCGTTGCGTCACTCCATTCGGACGTTTCATTCAACTTGAAGTCTTTCGTACGAAGGTCAGGCAACTCGCGTCTATCGCCGGCACTAGCACTCTCTCTCCATTCTTTATCCGCTCTAAGCTGTCCCTCCCTTTCCTTTCGTTGTTCCTTTCTTCCTCAGCATGCAACGCACATACTAGCCTCTCTCCCTCGAACATCCAACCACCACTTCTCCATTTCACTTCGCTTATATCTTAACGTAAAGATCTGTTTTCCAAATTTCCCATTAACTCTCTTATTTTCCTTTTTGCCTTTGATTTCTTTTATGGTTTTGTTTTATCTTTATCTTGCCTTTTTACCGATAGTAATATTCCATGAGCTACCTTTATTCGAGCTGCCTTTCTTTGCAAGAATTAACTTACGTTTCTATACAAGAATCGATGATGCGTTTTCTACGTTAAATATCGGTAAACATCTTTTGTACTGAACGTATTTTACCAAAATTATCAATCGAGATAACGCGCAATGTGGTAACGTGAAACCACCAGTTTGACGGGCTCCAGAGGGGGTTTGTGACACGTTTCATCGTAGTTGATCTTTCTCTGAGCAATCTTAGGCTGTAGATCTCAAACTCCACCGACCTGAGCGTATTGTAAAACGATGCACGAAACACGATGTGTATCGCGGTAAGGTTTTTTTTTTATTTAAGGGTAGGCCGTGTGTGTCAGATCGGATTAATGATTTTTCCTTTACTTAGCGCGACGTCCGAGGCATGGGCAGCTTTCTGGGAGCCAACGGCATCGCCGATGGTAGCGGTATGCTGACAGTGATGGCGAAATTGTTGAAACAAGAGCTGGCTTCCGACGCCGAGGAGGAGAGCCTGGTGCCAGCACTCTCCGGCAGATTCACCTCGATGCAGAAGGTGCCCTCCCTCTCGGACCTCTCCGATCCGGAAAGCTCCTTAGGTGAGTCTCTTGACTAATTTCATTGCATACCCTTTTCATCTCTCGAAACATATCTTGCACAAAGCACACCTACGTGTGGACAGCGAAGTGCCACAAATGTCATAAAGGGGAGTTCCATGATTTACAATTAAACTAAAATAAAATTTGCATAATTTTGATTTAATCTCCGCTTTGCAATTAAATTTCACATTTTCTGTGATTTCACAATTTTTAATATTCTGCTATTATCACCTTAGCAGATGAAAAGATTATGATGTATATTTTGATATCTAGAAATAAACATATACATGGATGAAGCAAGCATTCATATATTTTCGCATGCAGCTCAATCTATCGTAAAGGTTTCGTGATTAATTTTATATATCGTGTTATGCAATATGCATAGAAATTAGAATTATTAACCGTATTGCTTTGGTAAAAAAAAGGGTGACTGATTATATACACGGTGTAAAAATACACGTTTATTATTATCCGTGCGTTTTCGAAAAAAAAGAAACGTTTGGACTATCTATAATAACTACTTATAACCTTCTGCCGTGGATAACGCAAATATTTCTCAATTTTTTGAAGAAGCTGTACTATGTTCATTTTGATGGACATAAATTAATATTTTATAACAATATTTATAGTAGTTTTCAGAAGAACAAACCTTCCTTTTACATCTCGTAATATAATAACGTAATGTTTATTGTTCTTAAACGCGCGACGTTTCATCATGTCTCTGGCAGCAAGTACATACCAATGGCGTGAGAAAATGTGCCTACGAGACTGTTTGCCCAGACAGTGTAATAATCATTCGGCCTAATGTTTCCATTAAGCGGTCACCCGCGGTCGTGGAATGATTTTGTCAAGTTTATGAGCCATTTACTCGCTGAAATATTCGCAATCGCGAAAATATTTCGCGACGGAGGATTGCGCTGTCTTAAATTTCGATATCGAGGAATGGTAAATGCACTTTTTCGGATCCGTCTGTTTCTGTGTACGAGGACAATAAATAAGGGACAAAGGTGAAGAGCGATAACTGACGCGAAGAATAGTAAAGTCAGCTCTTTCGACGCGTCTTGTAATACGACCGACAACGATGCCGATACGGTGTTGTGTTAACTTCGGATCCCGACACTTAAAAGATACACTTACACCCGATGACGCTTGCATAATACGAGCATTAGCTGCGCGAGCTCACTCACACATGAATGATTTGTCCAATTAGATCGCGCCAGTTGTGTCGTGCCTCTTGCGATACGCCAAATGAGATGTAGCGGTATCTTTATCGCGTATAATTGTAACACGAAAAAGTTTATTATTCTTTTGAGCTTACATCTCTTAACTGCAATATATCTTTCTACAATGTTTTTATATATTACCTTAAATCCGCGTCCGGGAAGTCCGTCTTTTCAGCGATTGAGAGAATGATACAGCACTGTGCTCCCTTTGTTACGCTACTATTTCAATTAAACGTACAAAGTACGACCGTTGCTCCACGTAGTTTCTGAAGGTAAATAACGTACACATTTGCACAAAGAAATTATGAAACCCGATATTGAAGTATTCAATTAAAAAGGACCTTGTTATTCCAAGAGCGGGAATATTACAGCAAACGAAGCGATACGTGTACTTTGTACGTGCATTATATTACCGCTCTTTGATACGAGTATTATTTTATTCGGTGAAATGGCGTGTAAACTTAAATTTCACGCCCACATATGAAGAAAATCAATATACACGGCATAAATTACGATTTCGCGTATAAAATATTGTTGCACCGGTTATTTTAATGCCACCATGTTGCCACGCAACTTTATTTCGTCTCTGAATAACGCACGGGGAATTAACTTACGCATTCAGCGAGGTAAAGTGAGTTTCGTCGCGCTGGAAATCGAAATTTTCTAGGACGAATGAATGTACGGTAGCGTTAAGCGAGCGAGCGAGCGAGCAAACGAGCGCGAGTCATCCTTGTTACTCGCGGCTCGTCGTTCACGATCAAAATGTAGCGAGAATTTACGAATTGGATAATCAGCAGCATCCTCATTAAAGCCCCCCCACTGAACGCCCCCGCCTTCCATTCTCCTTCGGCCGCGTGTGTAAGTGCACGAAAGGCTACACGTACGCGTGTACGCATCGGACGCGTCGCATCGCGTCGCCCCCATCCATTTATCCGCTTTTATATCCGAGAGAGATAGGGCACAGGGGGGAACGAGTATTTTTCAGTGATTTTACGCCTTTTTCTAACGGCCAGCCTTGCGCAACCGACTCGTGAATCATTCCTCTAAATATTTAATCCTGAAGCAGACGATAATAAACCACATTCTCTAAACAATTGCATCAGGAGGACGATTTCGAAGTATTCCGTATTGCCTTAGAGCTCTTTCACCGTTCTCTTCTTTTCTCTCACGTTCCTCAAGAGTGCATAAAGACTTGTTAATTTCCCGAACAATGAATAAATTCAGATCTACCCCAGGAAATGCTTGAGAATGCATCTCCGTATCTTAAGTATAGCGCTGCTATCCAGTCACCGGAACAAAAAAGCGAAATAGTGACTGCTTCTTGGCAGAGAAGGTGACAAAAAGTGACCTTTCAGACATCAAAATAGTGACTAAAAGTGACGTTTTTTGTCAAATTCTGAAAAGAACCAAGGCCATTTAAGCAGAAAAGTAAGACTTATTCTTATCCTTCCAGATTTATCTTCGGATAACTTAACACATAATGAGTTTTCTTTTCATAGTACGGTTTGAGAATTCACTTCCAAATTCGAGGTATATACCTCGAAATGTCCCTCATAATTACGTGAGGCATTTATGTCAACGTTTACCTTCAACTTTGGCGGTAAACACGGTTAACAGGGTAGTGGCCGATTTTGGACGATAATGAATTTTTCAATGATTTATCAAGAAAAAGTGTCAAGAGGTGATTTTAAGTGAATGAATGTCAGCGCTGTAAGTATTAGATATTTATTTCGTGATGTTACGTCGTTTGCTGTACGGTTCGAGATCTTGCTTAACGCCAGTTCGACTTTTTTCAAGACAGAAATCCACGGCAGCGATATTACGCAGCGCGTTTAATAACCCGTCTAAGTTGGAAACGTATCCGACGCAATTAGCAGTCGGTTCTTAAGCAACGTGGTAAATACGAGCATGTAGTTTCAATTGGACGGGATTATACCGTAATAACGAGCGTGTAATAACGCGATACGAGCGGATAAGTCACGTGTAATTAGCCGACCGTTTTGCGACGTGTCATTCAACTTCGGCACGCGTGAGTCAGCTGCGATACCGTTCATTGGCGAGCGATCCGCGGCCGGCGGGCGTGCAAATAATTAAAATTCAATTGAATTCGCCTCCGTCCGCGTGTATGCACCAATATTTGAACTGTATCGCGCTCGCGTGTCCATCCACGTAACTTCAACGGCCGTGCACTTGGCACATCCGTAAAGCAAATTCCTTTCCTACACATTGCGAATGAAGTTGACGAGTTCGAGTATGTCGATACGACGCGGCTGTCGCGCGTAAAATCTATAAAAGTACGAAGTCGAAGACTGCACACCGTTGGAACAATTTGATTCAAGCCCGAATTCAAGAGGAACGACAAGTCACTCGCATCGATTTAACTGGTTCATTAAAAGTCACTCACAATTTGAGATAAATTTGTACGTACAGGTTGTCCTTATCGATTAACATTTAGACCGAAGGTATTTCTATGACTGACAGCGAGATTGTGAGAATTATGGTAGATATGGTTTTTTTTCTCGATCGTTGTGACAAACATCGCGAGATACGTATATTTTTCTTTACTAATGTGTAATGTCGGAAAAAAAAAAGTAGGAGACAACAGACGCGAATCTTCAAATACGCGATATCATCGGCAGGATTGTTTTTCAGATTTTCCGTTATTTACGCGAACATAACGTATATTTTTCGCTGGATTTTCTTCATGATGATTCCCAAACACTATTGTTAGACGATCGAACGTTGCCATCTCCGTTTACGACACCCAGCACTGCCATCGATGACAGACGGTATCCCGAATGTTTTATGCAAATAGCCATTGTCTATCTTGACATTGACGCGATACCGGGAGATTTGTTTTGCGCTTCTTTATGCGGCGTCGTCGCACCGTAGAACGTAACGCATCCGTGTCGCGAATGCAACGCTATGATAAACTCGACTCTCGCACTCTCTTTCGCTCCCTGTCTCTCTCTTTCTCGCGTGCTCCTCGTAAAAGAGCGATACGCCGTGTCTCATAAATATGAATTCGGATTCCGCGGCAAACAACGTGAGGAAAAAGATTCGTTGGGCCAAGGAACTTAGGCGGAAAGTTTCGTCACCGTACGATGCACCGGCACGGTGCTATCCTCGACGTTGCTTTAACGGGACGCGAAAGGCTTGTTTTCGCGAATTACTAAATTGCGGCTTATATTGAGATGTAAAAATCTCTCGCAATTTAAACTTCTGCTCCGTTTGCTCTTACATTTCACAGTAATTCCGCGTATTACTTTATTATCGGGTGTATCTTAATTGGCTCGCAGTGCCTGAACGCTCCATACGTCCTGTTTTTCATTTTACATATTTTCTAACAGCTGCACTATTGATTTTAACCGCGTGCTTAAACGAAAGAACTATTATCCGTCAAGCACAAGATATTAAAATTTATTTCTAAGTTCGAATTCTCAAACTGGATTCCCGATAATAATCTTAAAATTAAATAGTTGAGAAAAAATTAATTAAGTTTCATACGCTGAGAGAAAGAAGTTGAAATTTTACGAAGTAAGTGTTTCTTGCGATGTTTTCTTCGATATTTATTGGTAAGAAAAAAGAAGTTTTGACTGTGATGACGGAATATATATTCTTGTGAAATATACCTAAGTTTTCTTATTAATTAGTTTATTTGCTAGGAGTAAAATTTTGTCTCACCTTATTTCGATAAATGTTTATTTCTGTGAAATATTCATTACATTATATTATATTTCATAAATTATATATTTATTATATTTCATAAATAAATCT